GGTCAGGCCTTCTCGCAGGGCAAGGAATTGTGCTGTCACACAAACCCACTGTCTGGACAGCCTTGCAGAGCCCGTGCGGGGGCTGCAGCTTTCTGGGGCTGCACCTTAAGGACGAGGCATGGTTGGGGGTTGGAGAAATTGGAAGGCCAAACGCCAGGGCTCTGGGTCTGGGCAGTTTCCAGAGCTGCTCACTGCCTCTGGGCCTGGAGCAAATCACTTTCTTGCTCTGAGACTCCATCTCTTTTTATCTGCCTGGTGACTTCCTCTGTGCTGGCCAGTGGTGAGACTAGATGAGGAAAGCCACCTGCCAGAAACTGAGTGTTGCAAAATGTAGCCTCATTATTGTTGATCTTGACATCATCCTTGAGAAATTCTGTCAGGTTTTCCTCATTCATTCATTCATGAATGTAAGCTTGCCTTGCTTTTTATTTTACTGTTTTAATTTTTTATTTTATTTTTTTCTTTAGTGTTTCCAAATTTACATTTTTCTCCCTGTAAGAAAAATGATAATCTTTGAATTGGCTTTTTTCAGTGTTCTATCCTCTTCTCCTTGTTCTGGAAGAGTGTTGTGGTGTTAAAGAGAACTATAGTCCTACTATCTGAGGTCCAAAAGAACCACCAACGATGAGCACCAGGGATCACATCATCATGTACATATATGTCAACTGAGATTCAGATAAAATATATGGGAGAGTCTCCCTGCCAATTAAGGATCACTGAAATAATTCAGCTGTGCTGCCTGAGGTTGGATCTGAGATGACATTGGCCCTACCTCCCTTTTGTGTTAACAGCTTTATTGAAGCATAATTACATACCATAAAATTTACCCATCATAAATGTACACTTCAAGGAATTGAGCACATTTAGAGCATCATGTGGCCATCACCAGGGAACATTTCCATCATTCCAAAAAGAAACCTTGTACCCATTTATAGTGACTCCCCACTGCCTCCTCCAGCCCCGGGCGACTACAGATCTGGACTCTATAGACTTATCTTTACTGGGCATTTCACCTAAGTGGAATCCTACAATATGTAGCATTAGTACATGGCTTCTTTCATTTAGTCTAATGTTTTTGAAGTTTATCTATGTTGTTATGTATTTGGAATTCGTTATTTTTCATTGTTGAGTAATATTCCATTATATGGGTATTTTCACCATTTGTTTGTTCACCAGTTGACAAACATTTGGATTGTTTCCAGTTTGAGGCTATTATAAGTAATGCTGCTATGGATATTTGCATACATGTCTCTGGGTGGACCTGTTTTTCTTTTTCTTGGATGGATTCCCAAGAGCGGAGTATTTGGGTCGAATGGTAAGTTTATGTTTAACATTTCAAAGAAATTGCCAAACTGTTACCCAACATGGCTACTCCATTTTACATTCCCACAGCAATGAATGAGGGTTTTAGTTTCTCCACACCCTTGCCAATTTCCTATTTTTAAAATTTTAGCCATGCTAGTAGGTACATAGTGGTACCTCATTGTGGTTTTAATCTGCATTTTCTTAGCAACTAATCATGTTGAGCATCTTTTCATGTATCCCTTAGCTGTCCATGCATCTTCTTTGATGAAATGTCTATTAAAATATTTTGTTCATTTTAAAATTAGGTTGTTCATCTTCTTTCTTACTGAGTTGAAAAGTTTATTTTTTTAATTTAAAAACTTTGATAGGATTTTAATTTGTAAATCCAATCTTTTAAAAGTAAGCAGTTGGATAAGATGGTTTATACTCGTGGTATTTATACTTTTAAACTCTTTGCTCCTGAGCCTTTAAAGTCTTTACTCCTGCACATTGTCCCGAGACTGGGGAGGCAGGCATCCTTCATTTTTAGAAGAGGATATCACTGCCCAGAGAAGAAGAGTGAGGGGTTCGGGTTACCCAGTTTATTGGATATACAGCCAGGATCTGGAGTGTGACCCCACTGGAGACTGGGAGACTGAGTGGAAGCTTTTCTCTCTCCCCAGGACTCAGTGTGGGGCCTGGTATTGTCCCAAGGCTTGCCGGGAAGCAGAACTGATGTGGACCTTGGACCCAGGCCTTGGACCTGTGTTTGGTAGAAGGGTGCGCTTGTTTGCCGGGCTGGGGACCAGGTGCCCAGGTGCCCAGAGATGATGGTCAGAGGGTCCTGTTGGCTTTGGCTTGGCTTCTCATCCTTTGGGCAGCTGAATCACACAGGTGGTTCTCCTGGCAGCGGGCACTTTGTCTTTTCTCACTTCATAAAGATTTCCATCTCGGGCCTCCATTGCAGCAGCACAGCTGTATCTCCTCACCCTTGGTGACGCTGCCCTGCAGGAAGATTCACTCCCTGCACGTGCCTTCATGCGATGTGGGCTCCGGGCCTGCATCTGGGCGACCGTGGAGGTCCTTGGCCTGCAGAAGTGCCAAACTTTCCCGGGAGACTGGAAACACTTCTTCCTCTCCTTGAGCAACAGACATTTGCTGATTGCTACACCAGATGGGCAGTCCCAGACTCTCATCTGGTTGATGGTAGAAAGAAGCAGAATGTTTTCTGTTATCCTGCTCCGGAGAGAGCTACGGCTCTTGGAATATGGGAGGATTCTAGTTGAATATTAAAATCTTGCAGGAGCCATTTTTCACTTGGGTTCTCACCATTGTCCCTCTGGGAATGTTTGATTTCTCACTTTCCCTTTGTGACTCTTAAGGCCCCTAAAGTGAGGCCACCCCACGTGGAGGGGCTGAGCACACCGTGCTGGGCTATTTAGACTGTGAACTCTGCATCCGGCAGGAGCAACCAAATGTGCATTGCAGCTGCCAAAAGACTTCATTCAGTGGCTCATTGAATTCGATGGAAAGAGGTGTTAATAGAGTCAGGGGAAGTGATGCTATTTTAAAAAATGACATTGTGTGGTTCTGCTCTGTGTTTATTCTCCCTCAATGACTTCCAGATCAAACTTACACGGCTTTGCATCAAAAGATGCCTGTTCTGGACTCCAGTTTACGGCAAATAAGATATCCAGCAAGTTAACTCCTCTGCCCCTGCTGTATCTCGTTCCTTGGGCTGATTGTCAGATGGTGCAGGATTGCCTCGGCCCCGGTGGGAGCTGCGTCTTGGTGTCAGCACAGGAGCATGATAGCAGGGTCATGTGTCACGCAATGGTCGGGCCGCTGGCCTCAGCCTCCAGCCATGATTAGGGTCTCTCCAGCTCTCCGGTCGGAACACCCCAAGGGTGGGGTGTTGGTGTAAGAAAGGGATCAGAACTCTGTGTTTTTCCTCCCTCCCTGATAAGATGCAGGGAAGTCGGCCAAAGGTTTTGGGAGCTCCAAATGGCGGAGGGTTGTTATTATGGGTGATGTGACTGGCGTCGCTGAGACTCTGCGAACTTGCATTCTTCACAGTTAATGAACTCGGTGGAGGGGATTAAGAGGTACAACCTTCCAGTTATAAAATAAGTAAGACACGGGGATGTACAGCATAGGGAATATAGTCAATACTATTGCAAAGCCTTGGTGTGATGAGAGATGGTAACTAGACAAACTGTGGTGACCATTCTGTAACGTGTATGAGCATCAACTCTCCATGTTGTACACCTGAAACTCATACAATATTGTATGTTAATTATTCTTCCATTAAAATAAATAAATACCAATTATAATAACCAAAAACTTAAAAATAAGAATCATTGGCAAAACAAATATAAATAAATAAATATAAAATAAATGATTGAATAAAATGACAAAAAAATTAGTTAATGCTTGGAGAATATAGTGTTCCGTTGTACAAGATCTCTGGGGGATGGTGTAATCATCCCACTGCCTGAGAACAAGGGGCTCTTCTTCCCCCAGCCCCTCCCAGGGAGAACGCAGAGAAATCTCTAAACTATGTATTCTCGATGGAGGCAGAGATACCAAGAAGGCGAAATTGATTGGGGAGGGGGGGACAAAAGCACTCTTGCTCTTTTTACATATAAAGCACAGATATACATATAGTACATCAACAGATACACAGTGTATCTGTGTTATTAATATTTCATTAGGAAGGCGATTAGGAAAAAAAAATCTGAAAATGCTCTTTAGGTGGACAGTAATGAAAAAAAGTTGAGAGGAACTGCCCTGCACTAAGGTTTTGGGGGATCTTGATGAAAGTAACCCAGAGTCCTGAAAGGTGGTAAAGTCCACACTCACTCCTGCCCTGCAGAGGTTCTTGCTCTACAGATAGCTGCTGACTCTGTCGGAACAATGTGCATTAGCACTTTGTTACTGGGAACTTCGTGCTCCCATCATCTATGGTAGAAATTTCAAAGCCAATCCAGGGTTCAGTTTCTCACATCCCCTTCTATTTTGTTTGCCCCCACCTCTCACCGGGAATGGGAAGGCACAATGTTTCACAGTTAGAAGTGTTCTAAGGATTCCTGATTCTCTTCAGTTCAGCATACTGGAGAGAGGATGGTCCTTCCTGCCTTTTCTTCTTTTTAGGTGAGGATAGAGAAATAGCTAGGTGTTTGGGAGGGAATACACCACAGTCTCTTGTTTTCCTGAAGCTCTTCAGAGGGCCACTAGGTACTAGACTGGTACCTTTCACAGAAGGGCAGGAAGGAACTGGGGACACCAGAATTTGATGCCACAAAGTACACCAACCTTATCCTAACATGCCTGGCCAAAAACTCAGGCCTGCTGGGGAAGATGCACACCCCCCCCACCCCAGGTTTCCTGTGGGGAGGACCAGGGCTGACAGAGTCATCATGCCGGTACATGCGGGTTGATGGGGAAGGGCCCTCCAAAGTCATGACAGTTGAGTTCCCTTTTGTCCCTCCCCTGGGATGGTGAACATACACCTGTGTTTGTCTTACTGTTGGTGTTTCTCTGGGGTTCTTTTTTTCTTCCTGTTCTTTCTTTCTTTCTTTCCTTTCTCTTGGTCTCTTCATTGGGACTTGGCCGGGCCATGTGCAAACCCCAACCATTCAACAGTGCTGGAGAGTAGATAGTATTTACCTCAATAATGGTAGTCTCTTTTCGATTCTTTTTAACCCTCAATTCAGATGACGGGTCGAAGCCGACACCCACGATGGAGACTCAGCCCGTGTTCGATGGAGATGGTAAGCTTACTTCCGACTCATATGCTCCCACCCATTTTTATATTTGAGGAACGTCTTTCCTTTGGATGTTTGTATGAGCTTTATTATTAGTTTTTTTCTTTTTTAATTTCAATTCTTCCCAGTTTAAGCTGGGTTGTTTTAACCTTTAAAAAAATGCAAATCCTCCCAGGAACTGGTACACTCTCTACTTCTGGAAAGGCCCTCTGTTCTAGCCAGGCTTCCTGCCTGGCCGCTGATGTCCAACAATAACACAGCCTGGATGGACCCTTCAAGCTGCCAAGACCAAAGAGCCATGGCTGAGAAAGACAGGCCAGCACTGTCCCTTCAGTAGATGAACCAACACTTACAAGTTCCTTTTCTGTGCCTAGCATTGTACTAGGCCTCTGGGGGACAAAGAAGGAATAGTTGAGACGAAGCCTTTGCTCTCAAGACAATGGCAACTACTGGAGAGTTTTATGTGTTAAGTTATATGGTCTCAGTTTTTTATCGTAGTGGACATTTTTTGAAGAAAGAGATTACAGTGGTCTGGAGAAAGACTATGTGAACAGATGGGACCTGGGCTGGATCTTGAAAGGGGAAGGGAAGAATCAGGGCATTGCAGTGGGGGGACTGGAATGGGCAGAGGGGAGAGTATGGTGGGGATGAGGTATGGTAGGAAAGTAGGAGGAAAGAGATTGGTTAGTGGACCTGGTTTGGCTAAGTTGGACCTTGAGAGCATTTGAGAGAGATTTCTAGGACAAGAGAAATAGTGTAGCTGGTAGTAAGATAGAGGCTGAATGTCCCTGAAGGTATGAGGAGTAGACAAGAGGAGCGTTGGGTGCAGAAGGCTGGTCTCTATTTGAGTTTGAACTGCTCATGGCCTACGTTCTTCAGTGTGCTTTGCCATATACTCCAGGTTCCCATGAGGAGGAGTATGAAGCTTGGCAGAGTGCAGTTTCTAGAAAGTCTGACAATGAGGTTCGGCTCTCAGTGCAATATACAGCAAGCTTTGAGCAGCTTTCAGTTGAGTGTATCCAGACCTGAATCACGAGACTGGACAGGGAGACAGGAATGAAAAGAAATTATGCTGCTGTTGATACTGTGGCTACAGATGTCCCTAGCAGAGGCTCAGCTCTAGGTAGAAGGATTGAAATGTGAGCTATCCTTTACAACTGGTCATTTAGTGGAACACATATATGTGTGTTCATGCCTAGAAATTCAGATGTTTCTGTGATCCACAAATCTCCTGGATTTTTGGCAAGTCTGGATCTTGAGGGATCAGTGGGAAATGGAGACCGTGTCACCTTGGGAGATCGCCCCAACAATTTCACTAAAGAACTCATCACTCTTCAGTGTGTTCAGGGTCCTCCCAATTCTCATACCACTTGTCCACTGTGTGACCCAAGCCCTGAACGGCCTAGAGGCCCCCCAAGCTCTCTGGATGGAGGGATTCAGCCTCTGTTCATGAGAAACCATTAGGAAGGATATTGACGCACACATTGGACTCATCACTTTCCTTCCCATGTGGAACAGAGTCTCAGCAAGCTGAAATCTGTTGTGGCTCAGCCGTTTCCTTCAAAATGGTCTCTGTGGTCTGTTTGGCATTCATTTGTTGATTTATCCCCTTTAAATCTTCTTCCAGGGAAGCAGCTGAGAGAGACTTGGCTTGGCCCATGCTCCTCACCTCCTGGGATAATATTTTGATTCCTGGATGGAGCGGCTCAGCGCCTCTGGACTTAGACCACTCTGCCTCTGAGCAGGGGAGGCCCTGGTTGGCTCCTATGAGCTGGCGGGGAGAGGAGCTTCCGTAGTGAGAAGGGAGAAGGCACTGAAACAAAGTGGATGTGAAATGAGGGAGAAAGCTCAAAGCCTTGATGCCTCAGGCTTTAGAAAAAGCTCCTGAAGTCTGGGGGCCGCCCTCCAAGTTAACCACCCCCTTTGCCCAGATTTTATTTTCTCTCTTCTTCTTCTTTTTTTTTTTTTTCCCAGAAATTACAGCCCCTACTCTATGGATTAAGCACTTGGTAATCAAGGACTCCAAACTGAACAACACCAATGTAAGGAATTCAGGTAAATAATCTGCCTAGGATTGTATACATGCCTGATTTTCCTGTGGTTGCCCCATGGTTGGTCCATGACTACCTGTTGTATGGGCTTGGGCAAGTCATTTAACCTGTCTTGTTTTCAACTTCTACAGCTGTAAAGCGAGATCAGAGGAGTGAATCCCTTTCAACTTTAATTTTCTTCAATCAGGAGCTCAGGGATCATCTTTCGTGAGGAGCTGATCCTTTTAGCAAAAAATCTTTTGACTGTATGTTTTACTATTTTAATTGACTCTCTATATGCCATGCAGAAGAATTTGAAAAACATGACCTGGCATGGAAAAGTTGGACTTCAAGCCATAAGAGACTTGGTTCTGTGTGTTTTTTAAGGCTCCGAATAGTTGCTTACAGTCATGTCTTTTCTGGTCTGATCTTTTGAGGGTCTTGTGAGTGGTCAGGTTTTGGTATTGACTGAACCCCTTATAGAAAGGTGATAATTTTTGGAGGGTGATCAGATTTATAGGACTCATTCATAGAGTTCATTTATCATCAATGAAGACCAAAGTCAATAAAGTTCATTTACCATCAGTAAAGACCAGATGTCCACCAAGAGAAAAATTTATTAACAAACCCAATCTGTATCTCTATCGTGGGGAAATTATCCTTCTTTCAGCTTAAGACTTTAGTATGAGAAATGCCCCTCTGCATAATTTATGCCTGCATAAATTTGGTGGATTTCATTTCAGCCCTATCATTTTTTCCTTATGGATATCAAGGTCTATAAACAAAAGATCCATCCCTTTGAACTGATGGGCAGAGTTTTACAAGACCGTTAATTAATGAGTGGGCTGTCTTTGGCCCCCTGTAGGTTTATCCGTATGCCAGCTCTATCCTAAAGATGGTAGTGGGGGAACTTGATTGTGCGAAGTGAGTTACCCGTTGAGGTGAATCCATGCAGCATTGGTTGATTTTCTCTGTGACGTGGGCCTGGTCAGTACCTCTGCATGTGTCTGGTTCTCTGTCTGATAAGAGCTGGAGGTATGGGATGATGGGGTGCGAAGAAGACTATGTGAGTCCTGTGGACCAGTCTTTGACAGAACAGTGCCATGTTTAAAGCACAGGTATTGGAATCAGCAAAACTTGCGTTCACTTTCTGGCTCCAGCACTTAGCGAGTGACCCAGGCAAGTGAAATAATCCCACCCAGAGCCTCAATTCTCATCTGGGATCATGATCTTCCCCTCGAAGGGTTGTGAGTAAAGGTTAACTGAGATACCGTCTATCTGGTACTTAAGCAGTGCCGGGCTAAGTGATAAATAGTAAGTGCAAGATAAGCTGAAAGGACATTATTTATTGTTATCATCACTGTGGTAGGAAAGATGGCAATGTTAATGATACCGCTTACAGTGAGCATTCTTTAATAAGGAAAGAATTTGTGATTGTCATTGTGAGCAAAAGCTTCTTTGTAGAACCTTCTTCCACCTCCCCTCTTGCTGTTAGGCAAATAGGATAAGTCAAAGAGACATGGTTTTGGTGCCTGGGGTACCTGGAAGTGACATCTGCCAGTGGTCCCCCCATTCCCTGCACCAGGTCTGCAAAGCCCCAGGGTGAGGCTTTATTCTCTCTGTGACCAGGTGGCAGATCTGTGGCCAGCGCTCTGAAATTCTACAGCACCATTTGCCTGGAACACTCACTTGACATTTAGCAGTTGCTTCCAGAAATTGCTTCTTTTTCATCTACCAGTAGTTAATTTCTCTATCGAGGCTCTAAACTCTGTGAGGGCAAGGGCTTTGTTGCCTTTCTATTATATCTATTATAGAATCTAGCTCACTTTGATTGCTCTGGGGGAGGACAGAGGAGAAAAGACCATCATCATTATCATCATCATCAAAATCGGAATCATCCTGTGGGGTCCTGCACAACTTGACATGCGTTATCTCACTGAAGCTTCACCACAACCCGATGAGATAAGTCATGTTATCACCTCCATCTGACAGATGTAGAGATGGAGGCTGAGAGAGAGGAAGTAACTTATCCTGGGTCCCAGCTAATAAGGGGTGGGGCTGGGGAAAATGATTTATCTTTGCTTGTCTTCTTGGGCTATTTTCTCGGAGTGAAGTAAAGTGGTGATGTGAAGCTATTTGATGTTTGCATCCACAAGTCCTTTGGCTTTCCATTCCTACTTGCCCTTAGAGTCGCCAGTTGGATGAGTATTGGGTCTTATTGAGAAATGGTATCCACACAGGTACAACGGCCTTCTTTTTGTTGGTGTGACCCAGCCACCTTCGTTTTTTCCTGGTTGGCCCCAGTTTTGTCTGGAAGGTTAGTGTATAGAACAGGATAGTTCAGGGAGAGCTAAAGCTTCCCTGGGAGAAACTGAGAAAAGCAATAATTATCAGAGATCGATACCTTAGGCATTTTCTTATAAACTGAGGACTTTTCTCCATCATGATCGAGTAGTAATACTGACTACCTGTCGACCCTTTTGATGGAATTATGTGCATAGGACGTGGTGTCACAAAGGCATTTAGGCAGGGATTGGCAAACGGCCACCTGCCTGTTCATGCAAATAAAGTTTTATTGGAATACAGCCTTACCCGTTTCTTTACCTATCGTCTGTGGCTGTTTTGGAGCTGCAGTAGTAGAGTTGAATAGTTGTGACAGAGACCGTCCGGTCTGCAAAACCTAAATGTTTACTAGCTGACCCCTTACAGAGAGCAGTTTGCCGGCCCTTGGCCTATGGGACTGAAATAGAAGCTTTTGGATGGGCATGTGTGCATGGAGGTGTCTTTCTCCTGGTGTCTGGCCCCTCTCACAGACCAGGCAGAAATAGGGGCCATGGCTCCTGAGATGTTTCCCAACATGCCCAGGGAAGCCTGCATCATCAGGTCAGGAACTCTGGGCAGCTCACGTGGCCCTGCCCCGTCTAACATGAACCTTTGCCAAGCTTCAACATTCTGTTCTGGTTTGTGCTCTCACAAATGGGATGCCGGGGAAGCTTCCTGAGGTCTGGCTTTTGTGGGCAGGGATAGGGAATCATTTGTATATAGAAGGGGTAAACCTCGTAACGGCATAAGCATGGGCTTTGGTATCAGACAAACCAACAGACCTGGCTTCCAGTGCTAGCTTCCCGTGAGAGGCCAAGTGACCTTGAGAAAGTTCATTATCTGTGAAACAAAGTTCTTAGTGCCTTGCGGGATTTTTCTGAGGATTCAACAATATATATGAAATGCCTAATGCAGAGTAGGTACATCATGAATGATTTAAAAAATAATGGCTACTCTTGATGGCATATCTTTATATCTTGTGCCAAGTACTCTTCATGTTATCTCATTTGGTTTGATGAGAAATCAGATAACACTTTGGTGATAACTCATGTCTGGGCAGCTGGCTCTGGTAAGGACTGGAGCCTCTGGGTCAAGCCCCTGAGGCAGTTTCCCGTTAGAGTTTGCCAGAAGATTGTGGGTTAGTTGAGCTTCAGCCCCCACCCATGGGGAGGGCAAAGTGGGACTCAGCAGCTGGTCTAGGTGAGAGTTCTTCCCACTCTCTCTCAGAGGCAAGAAGGCCATCCCAGTTCCTTCTACACCCCAAACATCCTTCTTTCACACTCAGACCCTGTGACGCCAGGTTTGTTTTCTGGCCTGGGGACTGTTGATGTTGGCAAGGTTCCACTGGGCAGCCGAAGCTCTGCAGTAACATGACACATACGGCTGCAGACTTACCCTGTCTCCCTCTCTCCTCCTGGAGGGGTCGGTCCTTGTTTTTAAGGCTTTGTCTTGTGTTCCCCGTGGTCAGGGTCGCCTTCTGAGGACTTGGCAGCCTCAGCGTTGACGGGTTTGCCCCTCTGGACTCCTGACTCTGATTCTGGCCTCTGTGGCACCCCTTGTACCTGGCCAGCCGACACCCTAAAACCTGACAGCAGGCATTTCCTCACATACGAGTGTTGGCCAGAGACTCTGTGCTGCTTTTAGGACCAAATATGAACTCTTGCGGAGTTTTTGGTATCAGAGCCTGGCTACCAAGGCATTTCTTAATATAACTAGAGTTTAAAAATCTTTTTTAATCATCTACATTTTATAGACGAGAGCAAAGAGATTAAAGAAATGACGAAAACTAGGCCTTGTCTCATTCTTTGTCCCATATTCCATGTCCCACTGCTTCTAATTTTACTATGTGCAGACACTCTCCTACAGCTGTGATTTATAAAAGTCTCTCTTTCTCTCTCTCTCTCTCTCTCTTTTTTTTTTTTCCGTATGACAGAATTCTGTGCTTTCTTGTCTGGGGAAATACTCTCAGGAAATATGGTCGTGTGAGCCTTAACTCTTCTCTTGGAGCAGCGTAGCGATGCCCTCAAGGCACATGGGCCCTCTCCCTCTGCCCCTGCTTGGCTGCCTACCTGTTGGAGCCACTGGTGGGGTCATTTGACTTCTCTTCTTCCTTCCCTGTCTCTTTCTTCCCTTTCCTGCCACCTTTCCTTGTTAACTTCTTTCACGATCTGATCTGGGATTTCGAGAAGGCCCTAGAACCTGGCCCTGGGGATGAAATCCAAAAGGACTTGCTTTTCCTCTCTTGCCTCTTTGCCCAGCAGAGCTTCCTTGCGGGCATCACCCGAACGCAGCAGCTTGGGGGAGCTCTGTTTCCCCAAGACGCAGCCGTTAGCAGGGGTACAAGGTGGAAATGCATTTCTTGTAAGTTTTGCCATGAAAACAGCCCCGTCTCCGCACGTGTGGGAGCGTTTGCCTAACTCACCACCCGCGTGGCGGGTCAGCTGTTCGCAGCAGCCCTGCTCCTACCTGCCGGCGTCAGCGCCGTGCTCCTCTCGGCCTGCCGCGGGCCCCTTGGCTGCATTTGGACTGCTCCTTCCTCACCAGGGAAGCTCCTGCCGGGACAGCTGCTATGACTGGGATGTGGGGTCACTGAGGCAACAGCACCTCCTGGCCAGATCCCCCAGCCCCCAAACCAACACTCTTGGCCTGCCCAGAAACCGCGGGGTGATGCAATGACCTGAGGCCTGGAAAAATAAACAGCTC